CATTTAAGTTATTTGCATGTATTTAGTACTGTATTATCAATTCTATCCAAACTGCCTATTCCTGTTACAGTTTGATGATTATTCATCTATCCTGGATGTTGAATTTATTCAAATCATTAAATTTTCTGTCTAAATATTTTCAATTGTTTATTAGATCAATTGGTATGGCAAGTGGCGAGGGCTAGCGGAGCTGCTCCAAGTTATTTTCGGCCAATGGGACGATATCTTGATGGAGGATTGATTGCAAACAATCCTACATTAGATGCACTGACAGAAATCCATGAACATTATATTGATAAGAAAATGAAGGTAACACAATACTTTATTGTGATTCAACTTCTAACGTAGGCCCTGCCCGGGTGATGCTGCAAGTTAATTTATATTTCTTAAAATTTTTGTATTTATATTTTTAAGAATCTTCCGACACAGTCTGTTGGACTTGTTTTGTCAATTGGCACAGGTGTAGTTCCTCGCAAAGCAGTTAAGAACATTGACATCATGCGTCCAGACAGTCCCTTAGACTTAATCAATGCTGCAAAGACCATGATGGGAGCTGCAACCCTTGGACAAATGTTTATAGAGTTGGTAAGTACCAATGGAAAAGTATAAATGCCCAGGAAACCAAATTTTAATGTTATAATAACGTTTGGTGTTCAAATCATTTTTAGTGGACTCGGAGGGAAATAAGTTTTACTTTCGTTTAAAACTTAATTTGGTTATCCAAGTTCAATTAGTTCATTGTAACTTGTACTTTGTACTTTTTATGCTTGCTCATTTTATGTAACATTATTTGTGGAACTGAATAATTCATTCAAGGTCTTTATTCAGATTCAGATAAAAAATCAAAAATTAAAAACGGATAGCCAAAAGGCTGTATATGAATGTATTACAAATATTGCAACATTGTGTTCACGTCATTTTGTGGCATAAACTAATCACAACTTTCATAGCGTTCAAAAATGCTGTAACGCACAGGTGGGCAAAGTGCGGCCCACGGGCCACATGCGGCCCACTTTACATTAAAAACATATAAA